AGCGTGCTGATTATAACAGTATGTATTTTTTTTTGCTTGTTTGGAGATAATTTTGTGTCCAATCTAAAAAGCACATTTTATTAATGAAACTTGTGCACTGTTTACTCGGTTCACACTGATCTCATCTTTGTTTCTCACCTGTTTGGTGATGATCGGAGTAGAATAAGTCTTTATTCAATTTTTTTATGAAGTTAATATTTTATTACCACATTTATTCTGCCCTTTAGAATTTGAATGATAATCATTTACTTGGCTTTCTATGTGTTACAATAATTACTGCAGGTGACTAAACAGGATGCTACTATCAAAGGATTTAATTTGTGGGTGTTGCTATTTATAGATATGTGGTTTATGCTGTTCTAGGACCAGCTAATCATTTCCTTTGAATCTATGATCAGGATCCTGTTGTGGATATAATTTGTGTTAACTCTTTCTGATTGAGGATGCTCTGGTGGCATAATGAGTGTCGATTCCCCGAACCAAAAGTGGGTGATTAGTGTTGAGTGTTGATTAAGATGCTAACGGCTTAACCATGTGCGTCTTTTTTCTTTCTTTCTTCTTTTCCAGTTGAGTGCCCTGTGTGTTCTGTGAGTGTGGCACAGCATTTTATCAACAAGCATCTCGACATGTGTCTTAGCAGTGAGGAGAAGAAGGACAGCCTGAGGAGGTAAAATATCCACTGAGGTCATTATTTAAATAAAAATACTTATTTTCTGTATTTTAATCGAGTTATGCTCAATAAGTAATAAGTTTCTGATGTAATAAGTATATTATAACAGTGACTTAAAAAGTTAAGTTGATTAAAAAACAACATTTGTTATGACCTGGCACCATTTGGCAGAATACAAACAGTGCTATGGACACTATTATCAATGTACAACATCAATCACAAGCTTAAAGCCTGTATATAGATGAGTTTCCATCTCCCTGTGACCTTGGACTTTTTGTGGGGGTTTTGTGGTGTCTCATCCTGGGACTCTGTCTAAAGCCACTTTTAAGAAAATATTTGTGTGACATTGTCTCAGAGATAAACCCCTCTTTAAGCCTGCTCTGGTTGTTTATAGATCACAAGTCAATTCAGCTATGACTTGATGTGCTCTTTCCATGATTGATCCATAGTAGGTGTGGCACAGTGTTATGTCTTCCCATTCTAAACCCTGCTGCTTACTGGTTGCACCGGTTGTATCATCACTACGTCACAACCTTGAGCCTTGGTGCCGACTTACCCTTTCATAAACTAATGACTCTCAAATCTTTTTTGGTGGCTCAGAGGTGTAACAGCGGCAGGTTGACACACTGAGATTGAAGTGTTTATGAAAATAAGTATTTTTTTAAAATAAATTAAACATTTAAATGATTTTCTTCAATTTGAAATAAAGATTTGTGTTAAGTCAAATTTAAAATCATCACGCAATTAAAACATGCCAAATGTGTCTATCATTCTGCGTTCACATCAAACGCGATTTGGGCGTCAAAAATGCATCCAACGCCTCAAGTTGAGGTCAGACGCTCGTCAAAATTGCTCTTGATACGCGTCAAGCGTGTCGAGAGCCTCTGTTAATGGTTGGGTCACTGTTTAATGGCAGATAAAAWAAAGGAAGTGGCTTTTGCTTTATTTACTGAGAACAGCGGCACGTTGCACTCACCATAATTAAAAGTTCATAATTATTTCACCAGACAATTTAGCAACATTCTGAGTTTGGTGAGTTTCACAATTCCAGGAGCTGCGAGCTGACGAGGCTCGCTTTTAGCTCTATTTTTGTCTTGAGCTTGGTTTCACGAGCCGCTGACCCACATCGGTGCCGATATCTCCTGCCAGGACACCGACTAGGCACTCGATTACAGCTGAAGAGCTCCTGTTCATCCATCTTAGGTTGGAGTTTCAGGAAACTGTCCCGTCGGAAAATGTGTCACTATGTCACATAGTGGAGTCTCTCTGATTGGTTGACGCGCTGTGCCGAGTTGCAAAATTTCAGATTTTCCAACTCCAGCATTTGACACGCTTAACGCATGTCACGCACGTTGACTGCTCAAAACCTGCAGCGCTAGATAATCCGCAGAAGGGCTGCAGCTAGGGATGGGTACCGAATTCGATACTTTTTGCTGTAAAGACCGAATTCTGTCAGTACTACCGAGTATCTATTCACGTAACATCGAACGGTACCATGTTTCGGTACCTAAATGCATCATTGCTACCGGTTTGGCTTAAGAGTGGTGAGTTTTCCATGCTTGTCCTGAACGTTGTGTAATGACGTCAGCAACAGGAGCTGCTGGTTCAGTCAGTAAACAGAGAGGCAGCAGAGCTCGGTCTGAATGTAGCTGAAAGCCTTGCAGATCCTGGAGTAAAACTCGCCGAACAGACCGCCTCTGAATTATCTGGTGGATTAATTATCTTGTGAGCACGACGTTTGCTCGCTCAAAGTAAATAAAGTACCGCCACTTTCTTTATTTCACCCACCATTAAACAGAAACCGGCAGAGGAAAACAAACAGAGGGGCTTCCCGACAGTCCGAACACGTCTGACCTGAAAGAAGCAGCTAACTTGAAGCGCTGTGCGCGTTTTGGATGCTCAAAATGTAGCTTGAATACCTTTTATTTATTTTAACTCCATCCTCTTTTGCTTATTTGATTTAAACTTATTTGCCTTCCATGGACCTCCATCACACAACTTTTCTAGTGGGGAAATGACATGACATCAATAGAAATACGTGGCGCTGGATTTTAATTTGTGCAATAAGACAAAACAGTCTTGTTGTTTTCAAGAGTTTTCACTTTAAAGAAATAAGTTACACAACTGATGTTACAATACAAAGAGATGGATGTTGTCTAGATATTTGTTAAATTTTATATATTGAGAAATATATTACATAAAAAATAAATAAAAGTTTATTATTGAAAAAAACAACATACATAAAGTACAGAAAATTGGTACCGTTAAGTACCGGTATCGATTCCCAGGTACCGGATATTGGTACAGAATCCATGCAGCTAATGATTATTTTAGTAATCGATTAATCTATAGATTACTCTGACGATTAATCGAGTAATCGGATATAAAAACATTGTCACCTTCTGCAGTAATTACTTAAGCTTATTTTCTGAGAAATACAATTGTTTAATATTATGAAGAGGTTCTCTACACTTGCTGATGACCCTGCTGCAATCAAAGTAAAATTACAAAACCAGTTGTATTAATTCATGCATTTTAAGCTCCACTTGTTTGTATTTATGTATGTGAGGTTTGAGGAGGCATTAATTAAAAACACTCTGTCATTGAATCATTTTAACCATCACAGAAAAATCTAAATGCTGTAAATTTATTGTAATGGATTGGAAAATTGAATGCCTTTTTTTATTTTTAATTTTTTTTGTTAGAAATGTAACAAGTAAAATGAGTAATATAAATATTTGGGTGCTGCAGTTGAGTTTTGTAGAGTTCACTTGTTAATTGTAACAAAAAGTTCATATTTTTATTGTTTTTAGGTTGATGCAGGGTTCCCATTTAGGTAATAAAAGATTTAGTCTTGACTGCTTAGCTACAAACAAATATGACAGTAGTAATGAAGGCTAAAGTCATAAAAGCAGCAGCAAATTATAAAAAAAATCCCACTATTTTCTATAAATACTTATAAACTTGAAATATTCACTCCAAATATCTAATTTAAATTAAGATAAAAGCATATCAACAAATAAATGTGTTTCAGCTCAAGCTGTCAATCTGTTGCTGTGCTTTTATTTTTATCTGACAAACTTACAGTAAGTATTGTTTTTAATCACACAACTTACACACTGTTTAATAAAACCCTGCCAGGTCACCATGATTAGTCAGCACAAATAACGTTAGCCAAAATATACCTCCTCCTCGTACATCTGTAACATGACAGATTATCATAGATTTAGGTAACCGTATTTTACAAAGGGAACGTAAACAAATACGTGTTCGGTACATGCATCAGCTGTTTTTGTTCCAGTGTGGAAACAAGGATATGCTGTGTATTGCGTGTTGTCGTCTTTTCTGTTTAGTTTTAAATGTTCCCGTGCTTTTTATAATTTGTCGTTTTCTGGGCTCTTAATTTTTTTCTTTTTTTTTTTGATTTTGGATCTCTTCGTCTTCTTCTAAAGCTGAATGTAGCGCTTAGCAAGCATACACACGTGATGCCTTGATAGCGTGCGTAACTGTTAGCGGAAGCGCCAACATCGTAGCATTGTGTAACAAATAATATTCCGGACAGACAAAAGCGTGCTGATTATAACAGTATGTAWTTTTTTTTACGAAGCTTCGAGGCAGATAAATTCCCTCGAGGATTTTTTGTAATCAAATTACTCGAATTATTTGAGGAATCGTTTCAGCCCTACTCCCCAGTAAACATGTTTATTCTGTTTCCTGACTGTCTAATGACAGTAAAGGTCAGAATCATGATCAGTATTAAAAAAATAAATTGGTAATTGAGTGTGGTGGCATATTTGGTCAAATTGTTTAGGCTTTTGGTGTTTTCTTCMTTTGTATAAGGACATTGATTTCACACTTACAACCATCTAAACATGTCTTAATAACAAACGTGAAATTTGTATTAACTTTAAAATTGTCCTTGATTTACTTACTATCTCTTATTTGAGTTTTTTTCTGTCCTCTGACAAAAAAATCCACTTTCTACTTAAAGTGCATTTACTCACTACTGATAATGTAACAGACCTAATTTTTATTTTGTTGCATAGTAATGAGTCCTTTGACATTATTTAAAAAGCCAAACTTTTTTACTTGCACTTGAAACTTATTTCCCTGGAGTCCTTGATGATTTGTACTGCAGTGCTGTGGGTTTGTTTGTTTGGCACTGAATAAAAACATGCATTTTATTACACGTTAATGTCTTAATAGTCTTACTTCAACCATGCTTTAGTAACRTTTTGACACAAAGAGTGGGATATTTGGTTGAGGTATAAATATAGTTTTTACTGAATGTAAACTACTGTTTGTGTGTTTCAGCTCTCAGAATAAGAGCAGGCGTCCGATGCCAAAGCTGGTCTACAATCTGATGTCAGGTCAGGAGCTGAAGAGGAGGTTGAAAGAATGCCATCTGCCGGTGCAGGGTTCTCGGGATCAGCAGATCAAACGGCTCCAGGATTATATCTATTTGTACAACTCTGAGTGTGATTCTCTGAATCCTAAATCAGGTGAGARAATTTGGTGTGTATGAATGAAAGAACCGGTTTTAATTGATTRATAACTTCAACAAAGTGCTGTGAAAAAGACAGCGTTGAAGATAGATTGGGTCTATTGGACATGTTTATTTCCAATCATTGTGAAAGAACTTTGTGGCTGCTTCACCCAAATGACAGCATTTTAAAGTGTGATGAGAAGACAGCCATGACAGGTTAGAGACAGGAGATTACTGCAGAGATGGGCTTAACTGCTCTATTAACGTTTCTACTGGTAGACAGTTATTTAACTGCACAGGTTGTTCCCCTGAATGATGGTCTCTGAATAAATAGCAAGTATATATAAAAAAGAAAGAGTGGAGAGATTAAAACTCAGAATATTTTCCATCCAGCCTGCTGATCATATGAAGTACAGCTAAATGTCAAATGTTTAAAGATGTGAGGGAAGTTTGGCTGTTAGAACACTGTTTATTTCTGTCAAACATTATTTTTTGTTCTTTTTGGCATTTTTCATTAACTCAGGAAAAAATAAAAACAATATACAACATGGAAGTTATGGATTTAATGTAATAACCTTTTGTTTGTTTGATGTACGTTTGACAGCTGAAGAGATCGCTAAAGAAGTGGAGGCCAATGAGAAGATTAGAAATCAGCTGCAGGGGAAAACAAAACCTGTACGTATTTATCTTTTATATATTATTATTTTCTGTCTGTACAGGAAAATGAATTTTGGAAAGAGTGTTTCATTTTATAAAAGTTAAAGGAAATAAAATGTGTGAGCTGTTTTACTTTAGCAAAAAGCACACACTTGCTAATTGCTTTATAAAGAAGGTAAATGGTAATTTTTTTGTTTTATTTTTTGACAATCACATTTTTGTGTTTGGTTTTTTTCTCTTATAGGCCATGGTTTTCACCAAGCATCATTCTGAGAAAGAGATTGAGGACATGCATTCAAATTATAGTAAGTGCTTTGTTTTTCCCTTCAGTGTGCTGAGTCTCATGCAGCTTTTAAAACAAACGTAGGGTTTAAACACTTTGTCCTTCCTTACATGGGTCTACGCGATAAAGATATAAATCTATTCCTTTTACCTTTTGTAGTGTTTATCCTCAGTACTCTCTGAGAGCTCCAGCACACATCTGGGAACCACAATTACAGCACATGGGTGACATTACACTCGATGCCCCGCACTGGGGTGAAATACAGTTTCTGAAAAACGCAACTTTTAAAGCGGTTTTAAGTAATGGGTGGGGGTACTATCTTTTAGGCTATGTCCTGAACATGGCTGCCATCTTGAAAGCCACCATATTGGATCAAACTGAAAGTGTGTCCTGTGACTTTTGTCCCATTCTTTGGTGAGACACTACAAGAAATACACCATTATTTAAATAATGTGTCAGGAATATACCGGTACTTATGACTCATCTTAATGAGCCAAATCATCTGGTGTTAGATGGGTTGGAAATCATTGAGCTGACCACTCATAAAGATGCAAAACTCTAATGTGTCTCTACACCAGTTATAAAAAAAAACTACCTCGTTTTATTTACAGATACTAGAATATTTTCCCGTTTAAAAACTTCTTTCACTTTTTTCAATATTACTTAGATTTTTTTGTTGTCTTGGAGTTTTCTTTTAGTTTCATTCTCTCTTCTGTGTTGGCACAAACTGTCTTGTTTGAGGCATTCAACTAAAAATTGTCTTTGATGTGACAATCCCAGAACTGAAGATGGCACGTTATTTTGTATCAGGGCTTATTTTTGAGAATGYCACACAGGTGGTGAGTGCTGAAGTGCTACTTCTGTTTTTCTTTTGTTTTCTCTTTCTTCCTGAAGGTACGTGTTTAATTTGTATTTGTGGTATTTGTCACAAAACACTGCACAACACAAGTTCGGGTTTACAAAAAACCTTTGAGATCATCCTGTACTTGAGAAATGTGTGTCTCTCAACGACAATCTCTGACAGGATTCTTTTCTAAAGCAGAAGCCTTTGTGACTGATCAATGCATTTATTTTCTGCTCTTGCGAGTACATCTTTCAGTAGGAAAAAAATTCTTCTAGTATGTTTTATTCTTGAGCTTTATAGAAACGGCCGGATGTTCTGTTTTAAATAGTGTTACAGAGAATTAATCTGTTCTGTTTGAAAA